AATTTGTACTCCCAGAGTTTTAAAGTTGTGTAACCGAAAATTTCTGTAAACAAAGTAATACAGACCACGTCTATCACTATCACCACCACTCTACATTTCCTATTAAAAGCATTTTTCATACAGAAGGGGAAACAAGACTTTGCAACTCTTAGCCAGAGAGAGAAGTAACTTTAGATACACTCTCTCAAAACCAGAACAAAATACTGTTCAGATGAAAAGTGATGGCAGCAGTGAAACCCGCTAGCCCTGCACTGACACACAGTGTGCTGGGAATACAGCTACTAGGGGACCCTTATCACTCGCAAAGACAGAACAACACAGTCAAGCCAGAGTAAATCTGCATCTCGAGTAAAACATCTTCTTGCTGCATTTCAAACAGGCAATTGGGTCAATGTAAACAAAAATCATGCGCTGCCTTCCACGAGATCATGATCTAAAACCCATCAGAACAACTACACACCAATTCAGGCAACATGGGAAGAATTAAAACCTCTCACCATTTCTCTTTCCTGTGCATTAGTCAAATAAAAGCCGCTAAATTACAAAAGCCTTTTATACGTAAGGTAACACAACATATCCATGATATTTTTCACAACTGGGCTGTCAGAACGCAAGTGGGATTTTTCGAGTAGCCCAACACAGCACACCAACATCTCCAAGTGTTCTGAGCGCGTTCGCTGCTAGCATCTCCCAACACGGCCCCTAAGCGGGGATTTTACAGACGGGTAGAGATGGAACTGTGAAGGAGTCCACACCACTACTTTTCACAGCATATTCTAGGCAAATCTCTCACTTAGCCCTAAAATAAAATGGAACTGTCTCCAGATTACCACTTTTCCAGCTGTCAAACACGCTAGTTAACCCATTATGGAAAATCAGATACACAGATATAATCAAAATACCTTCAGAATAATTTAAGCTTAAGAATGATGTACTTACAAGCAGGGTAATTCCCAGTTAATCAAGAGCTGTCTATTTTCTACTTTTCTTCTACAAATAAATAAGCAAATAAAAGCAGAAAAGGTTTTGGCTTAAGTGGCTGAACCCTAACGATGAACATAAATTTGAACCCTCAGAACAATTAGAGCTTTTCTGATTACTATGTTAAAAGAAAAAGTATACTTTTTTTAAATACTGATCATACTCAGAAAAAAAATTAAATCTTTAACTGGCTCACTCTGTTTTAAATAGAACTGTCTCTCTATGTAAATTTTTCCCATAGTTTACTGAAAACTAGTTTACTGAAAAGTAATTTCAATTTTAATAATTTTTATAATAATGCATATGGAACTCTTCTTTTTCTGCTAAATGGAAATTGAGCGACTTAAGCCAGCAATGTAATAAATAATTTAGCATCCATCATTCAAATATCATATATTGCACTTGCGTTTTTAAAATATTTTCTCACACTCCTAACATTCCAAGTATCCAGAGTACCCACACAGATTTTATATACCTAAACCACTCAAGTCCACGACAGATTAAGCTAATAGAGAGGTTTAACGTGTTCCACAACACATACTACTCTTCCACGCATCACAAAACAGGGGTTTTTGATGCTGCACTTTGTAATTTTAAGGGTAAGCAGTAGGGTGGTTATTTTGAGCCCACGCAAGGCGGTGGGGCAGCACACAGCCGCGCTGCCAGCCAGTTGGGCAAGGGTCCCTCGCCCTGGCCAACACAGATGGCTCTTCTCTGCGTGTCACCCGACTGCGCCACTGCAGTCCTGGACAGGAGGGTTCCTCCCCTCCCAGAAACCAAGTGACAAAGCTGGGATAGGAACCAAGGGCAGGATAAGAAGCCTTTAACTAGATTGCCACTTAATCTTCTCTGCCATTTTTTTAATCTCACCTGCCAGGAGCACGAGCACGACAGTTTTGACACAAAGTAGGTCTAGATGTCCCCGGCACACGCGGCTGCCGGATGGCAGCACCCGCCTTGGTCCTCGTGGAAGCATCATCGCGACAGCCTGCGAAGCCGCCAGTCCGTCTTTTGTGCCAAGTTAGAAAACCTCTCTCCGCCCACACGAGGCATAATGCTATTTATGCATCATTTGTATTTTCATGTGATTTTTTTTCCTCCTACACTTTTACCCAGGAGGAAGAAGTGAGAGGAAAAGATACTTTACTCGTCTCGTTAAAAATTGTGTTAAGAAATCATAGGCAATAACAATACCATCATTCTATGAAGTTTTTTGAAGGTATATTTACCGATTGGGAAATAAAATCAAGTTTGCGAGTATATTTAGCATAACTTCATACATTTTGATGTTTCTGTAACCTTGAACAACTGTCTTCTCTATCTCCCAACAACATATGTGTTCCATTTTTCATCATCTCACTCAAACATATGATCTTGGTAAGAGGAACACAGATCTTCTTAACTGAATAATACATGCAATTGGGAAAATACACATGCCTGTACATCTAAAGCGTTTCCAGAGATGTATCCACAGTGTCTATCCTTTTTTGCTTGTCCTCAGTTTCACAAATTTCAGTATTCTGTAATGAGAGGGTGTGACAAAAGGCAGCAGAAGATGTAGGATGGAGGTAACTGATAAATTTCAGAGGACAGGCTGGAAAAGGCTGCACATACACAGCTTAAAGCGCAACACTATACGGCACTTGAAGGCGCAGAACCCCTGCAGACTAACAGTCCTCCACAGAGATTGGAGCTCTCTCTTGCTCAACCATGCAGAACATGAAAACCACCCAAAACAGACCCTCAAATCTCCAAGCAATACTCTAAACTGTTTTTCTACGCAAACTTGGTGTAAATTCAATTGGAAATCTTGGGTAATCCCTAATCAGAAATATATCTACTTTTTGTAGAAATCCATACAAAGAAATAAACTGCAATCTTATAAGCCTCTAAAATCTTTAAACAGCCTCATAGCTGAAAATACTTCAGGGTTGTAGCTCTCAACCTGCAACTCAGTAGAAACATTTGCATAATCAGTTTATCAAGGCATATTTTTGAAGAAAATTTCCATTAAAGTTCTGAACATTATGTAATTACTGCTTAGGAGAGGATGACACAGATATGCCTATCAAGTGTCCTTTGCATTATTTATTTAGGATACTTGACTTATATGTACTCTGAGAAAAACAATAAGGATTCTGATATCATCAGGTGACTGCAGATACTGCAAATGCAGATAAAAACTTGAGTGAAAAACTGGTTAGACCATTTAATATTCTAGCTCACCCACTAAGGCAATAACTCAAACATTTGTTTGGTTTCTAAAACGCAATTTTCAGGTATGATGTCAGGAAGAGAGGGAGAAGAGACTAGACAGGTATCCCTATGAAGAACACTTCTCAGCTGTACCTGGAAACACACCTATTTTATTTTTTTTTGTAGAACAATTCTTATTGCTTGGCTATTTTAGACCTATGCTAATGGAGTAGCATAGGCCTGGATATATCTTTCTAAGGAGAGAAAGAAAAGAAAAAAAATTGAAATAAGGCATCCTGAATTTTCAAAGGGCCCTTTCTTCTAATCTATCTGCTTGGATAATGCGTCCAGAGTGGCATTTTGTAATGACAGCAACTTTCCAACAAATCAATAGTTATTTAATTCCCAACAAGCTCTCGAGTCCATTAAACCTGATTACATTCACCCATTTCAGTTGGGTGCAGTTATTTTTCCTACACCGGCACTTAATCTATAACAGGAACTTATGAGAACTTTCAAAAGCAATTTCAACATCAATCAGCATAGAGTGAAAGGCACGATTTGCTTGTAATTATTTATTGGACAGGATGGCCCAGGGTCTGACTGAGCTCTAGTGTCCGACCTTCACCCCCAAATTCTAATGGATATGAAGGCCCGCTTGATGTGTTCAAGCGTGATGCCGTGTCTCGCTGCATAAAAAATTGCATCAGCTTGCACGTCCCAGAAGACACGATTTTTCAATACCCAGTAACGGCCACAGTGCAACGCTGTATTTCTATTCTAGACATAGGTGTCTGATATGAAGCCTAAAGTGAAGAACAACTCCCAGTCTTCCATTACTGAATGGGACCTACAAGGAAAGAAAAACCTGATTTGCGCTGTGAGTGCCCCTCCACGGCAGCTACCTGTGGAGCATAATGAAAATTTGCCTCTCCTCCACAGTTAATTTGACCAATCACTGGCATGACACAGAAATGCAGTAATACACAGGTGGGTCTCGCGACCCTGTTAAGACATAATATCTGACTACTGCTGGTTTGTTCTGTTTGTCAATGCTTGGAAATATTACTCGAATTCTTTCTTAATGCCCTCTGATACTTTTTGCTTCATTAGTGTCTACAGGATCTATTCAAAATCCTTCATCTAGCAGCAGAAACTTCAGCAGTACTGCTTTTTTGATAAAAATAAAATAAAACCAAACACGCACACCACAACACCAAGAACTCAATCTAGTAATTGCCAGTTAACTTCTGAAACACAGAACTCTTGCCCTGAAGCAAGATCTTACACTTTCAAGGTTCAAACGACTTAATGCGACGTGCATAAATATTCCGAGAAGGCGATATATTTCTATACACACAAAAACACAAAGCCTTTTTCATTCAGTGTGATGCACAGCATATGAATTAATGCATATTTAACACTATTCATATTTGCTCTGCTAAAACACTTAACCCAAACCCATCACGGTAAGTTACTTTGTCTTATGACCTGCCGTGGGAATGCTGACTCCCTCAGAAACCTAGAATGGATAGCAAATCCTCTGCCCTGTGGTCAACCTCGTGAAGCAAAGGCATGAATGTTAAACAGCAGACAAATCAATACAAGCAAATATAGCTCAACTACACCATTTATTCAGCCATGAGAGATGTCAATACTCAGATTAGGGTGATCCATCTTTTTGATTTCCTACTGTCTTCTCACTGACTACACGAGAGCTTTTGCCTGTATTAAAAGTGTTTGCTTTCTCAACCATAAAAATTCCAATTATTACTCTAAGCGCACTAGAGTTAAGTTGCTTGTTGGAAGCGGCCTTGCATTACCTGAACAAGTCCAGCGAAGTAGGGTGCTGCCGGCAGAATCATTGGCACTCCATATGGATGTAGCAAAACTCCTTGAGACGACAACATGGTTTAAGTGATAGTATTACTCCCACTAAAGCTAAACACATCAATTGAAAGTTAGGGGAAAATCTATATACCAACTTCTTCCAAACTCAGAGCTAGAACCAAATAACTTCTGTCAGGGGCAAAGCCCACATCAGCTGTAAAAAAAAGAAAAAAATTGACGTCAGCAACTCTTAATGTTAAACTTTTCTTCAGAGACAACAGATAGAGACAACAGCTGCAAACCTAACTCTACCAAGAAGGAAGGTGCTATTTTGGGACCAGCTTAAGTAACATGACTAACCAGCTACTCTTTATCAGTTCAGATTTTTAAGTACTATACACATACAGATCAAATCCTGTCCAAATCTAGCAATTAGAATTAATTTTCCTACCGGTTCTGGCACATACATGACAACAGTTACTATTAGAAGCCATTTAAAAATAAGCAGGTTTATCATGATTGTGCAAATAGATGTTTCCCTGTATTTATAAATTGTTAAACAAATATTCATGTGAGAGATTAAGCTTAAGTCTGTTGCACTGGATACATATTCTGTTTTGATTCATTAAATTTTTCTTGCTTACTTAGAGCATTTGAACTAATGCAAACTAACTACTTCTATTAGTGTAAATTATATTTTAATGGCTTTTCTAACTGTTCACAACATCTATGTTGTTATATTAATAATTTTTTTAAAAAAGAATGAACTTGACCTTTAAAGTATTTCATATCTGTTCTCCAGTTAAACTTATACTCAGAGTGCAAGAGATAAAAGAGCCAAATTTAGGCTGTTACCCCCACCAAATTTGCTCCTTAATGTACTACTTGCAAGACATTTTCTTCCACAGCTAATAATTTTTACTTTAGACAAAACAAACGTAGTCATTAACACCTGTTTCATGTACAGCATATCTTCTACTGCAGATACGACTAATGACAAGAAACACAACTGAGCAAGATTTTTAAAATTCAATAAAGAATCAAGTGCTTAGAACTTCATATTACAAGTTCAAAAAAAAAAAAAAAATCCTCTCCTACAGTCTTCAAATAACCAGGGTGCTTCACATTACTAACTCCAGCTACCTGATTTTGTTGCATAATTACTTTTCCGGGTAACTAATTGCAGACAAGATTTGATGTGATACTCAATTATTTCATGTCACATTTTGACCATCGTGAAGGTTTTCAGTAATTGATTCTCATGTATCAAGGTAGCCGTGTGGCTTGATTTGGAAATCCACCTCAGCAGCTGCACGTTGCCCCTCGTTACTATCAGCCTCACAGCATTTCTAGCTCAAGACGCCGAATTGCGACCCTCTGGGACTCTCTTCTGAGAGGCTGCCAGCGAGGACAGCAATCATCCCGTGCTGAAGCGATGTTTGCCTAGTTCCAGCTCCGGTTACGCCACTGCTTGACTTGGCTGTTGGGAATAATGCTCTTCACACTGGTTATCCGACTACTCTTAGTTAGTAATCACACTTCTTGCTCTTTTCTTATTAAGGAATAGAACCTTGCAGTTTAATTACGAAGCACACAGTGGTCTAACACAACGTGGGGTTCGCCAAATAATTTTTGTAAATTCAAATACAAACCCAGTTATTAGCTTTCACACAGAAATCCATAAACAAAAGGTATGTATGAGAGTGAGTTGCCATTGCAACTCATTTAAAAGTATTTAATTTGTAATGAAAAAAAAAGAGTTCATTTTAACTATTACCTATTTATTTGGTCTAGCAGAGCAAGCTGCATTTAAAGAGAAAGAAGATTTCTTTCACCTAGGAACAGAGATTATAAAATGGATTCTGGAAGCTTTACTCAAATGACTCCAGTGGGACAACTGACATAAATAAGGATTGTTAAATTGCTCTGTGAAATACCTAGGCGTCTTTTTGTTTCAGCATGTACGTATCTGATAAGACGTTAGAAAACCTAAAGAGCAAGATGATGGGTACAGGGAAACACAAGCTCAAGGGAAGCTTTTCTGTGATCTGGTTTGGGACAGTTTTTGCTTAACATTTTCATTTATTATTTTGGCACAAGGCAACACGTGGATGAAATTTCCTGATGACATAAAGTTGGAAGGGACTGTCAAGATGGAGAAGGATGAGACTATAATATAGAAAAAAAATCATTCAACCTCACAGACTCCATTAATAGAAATGTGATGAAATTCAATAATACAAAAGGAAAGGCAATGCTTCTATTAATAACAAAAACTTCCGTTCTAAACTCAAGAGGAAGAAGAGCAGGACCTCCTGGCAGCCGTTTTAGGAATTGGAGCTGCTCATGTGATGCAAACATGAAAAGGCAAATTATTAGTATTCCTGGATTAATTTTATTTCTCAACTTTAATTTCAGAGGTACTTTCAATAGCATATCCTTCTCTTCACGTTTTAAAAAAACCCATCCAAACAAAAAAGTCAAATGCAACTACAACAGCTGCAGGGAAAGTCCTTCGCGTGCTGTTCAGTGGAGTGGAGTAACTATGTTGTAACAGGAACCTTAGAAAGTTTGATTTGTTTATCCTAGCAAAACAATCTGTGAACAGGGAAGAAAACAGTAGGAGGAAGAGGCTGTTTAAGCTAAGGACTATCCTGACACACTAAAAAACACAAAAAAATAGTTATGAATAAATTTAGGCTGAAAATATTCTTCAAGTTGTTTTTTTTTTTACAAGTGTTTTCGTGTTGGCTAAGGGAGGGTCTAGACTAGCCTTCCAAACCCACAGTAATCTAAGAGGGATACCTTATAAAAGCAGATCAGACCACGCCAATACCAGTTGTAGTCTGAACTCCGCAACTTAGGCGATGACCCTTCCAGTTCTTTGCAAGCAGTACAAACACTCAAGAATAATGCAGATATCAAACGTTGACACAGCATTTATATTTACTATGTTGCAGATCATAATATATAAGAAGAAATTTTGAAAATAAACTGTAGTTATCTGTTTTAATGAAAGGATGCTTTGCTTGCCTCACTATAACAACTCGCTTCTAAACGCACAGCCGTTTGGCACTCCAAATCCCAGCTCTGACTTTCTGGTTGGGCTCTTTGCTGCTGTCCCATGTGTGCACCAGCTACCTAAGTTCGCACAAACCTCTGTGAATCAAAACCACAGAAGTACAACACAGCTTTACTCGCGTCTCCGCCCCGTGCCAAATTCTAAACTTACGCCAATGCAACTACATCAGCTTCAGCACTTTAGACCAACGTATTTGTTCTCTCTTCCAGCCACACAAAAAGGAGACTGGTCTTAAGTTTTACAGTTCACCATTAATTAGCGTTAATGGTCACTTCTGTTCTGCAAGAATGTACCTAATACATGAAATTTGTCCATAAAGAATGGTGAAGACTCAGAAAATGAGTCAGAAGAGTATTAAATACACTAGTATCTCTGATTTACTTTAGCAGGGCCTCTAGTATGCTGGAGGCTAAGCATGGGCTTAAAGGTTTTCGTTCGGACAAAGCCCGAGCGGCCAGCACCACGCACATCAGTCACCTGCCTGAAGCCACTGACGGTGACAGTATCTACTTCCTGCCTACTCTGGGATTCCTACTCCCTGCAAAAAAATTAAGTATGTGTGTGGGTGGAAAAGGGGAGATCATCTATTTTAAACAGCTATACAGCTTTCACTTCCATTACATTCTAGAAAATTATAATGCTGTTAGAAAAAAAATGACACGCTAAGCCACTTTCAGTATGTTAATGGAGGGCATGTTTCTTTCAGCTATCTGTTTCCCAACCCTGGGTTGTTTTTTATCATCAAAAATTTTCAAGGATTTTTGGAAACTGAAACCCGATTTTAAAACAGAAAGACAGAAGAAAACAAGAAAATAGATGAACACTACTTTTATACATGAAACGTATACAGAAATAAACCATGCTATGTTGTTTGCTTCATTTTGTGGAATCTTGCAAAAAAGGCAGATATTATTTATGAAAAGCTGATTTTAAAGGTGAATAGCATAGGTTAAGCAAGCTAAGGTAGCAGTAGGTCAAAAATACCTAAGTGTTTCAGGTCCAGCAGTCTACTGCCATAATTTTATGCTCTAGCACAGAATTGAATCTGCAGACAGGACAGTGACTTCACTGAGGACCTGCTAAAAAGTGATTAGAAACGGCAAGGAAATGGAGACTGCTTTAAAGTACAGATGCACACAGAAAGAAATAAAGCCAGAAGCACACCTGAAAACTGGGCTACACGTTCAGACAGAACAAGAAAAAAATGAAAATTATGCAAGAAGGTCCAAGGTTTTGATCCCACCTGCATATAATACCTAAATGACAGATTAGACAATGACCAAAATACTCCCCTCATGCAAAAGCAGATGACTAGGTTTTGCTATGGTCCAATGTGTAAAGACTTTGGCAACTTCCCTGGAGCCCCACTGCCTGGAAGAGGTAGATCCCTGCAAGGCAGTCAGCAGCCCATCGTTGGTGGATGCTCGAATCGGATCCTGACAGAAGCAATCTAGCCAGGCCATCTCTCTGCCAAATAGCTAATGCTTCTTAATGCCCATGTCTAGTTCAAAATACCATCAACAACGGTTCTTAGAAATGCTATACAACACTAACGAACTTCGAATCATTTCTACTACCTTCCAGCATTGGCCTAACTTTCCCATCTAACAGAGCATAAATAATTCAGGTATCACTTTGGCAGCCTCTTGCTAGCTTACGTTACTTCAGATTAGCATCCCTTAAGCTCTTCAAGCCTCTTGTTTTCTGGCCACCTTTCCTATTCTCCAGATGCTCTCCATTTCCTCTTTTAATATTTCCTGGCATTTTTCTGGTAAAGGAAGACCCAGCACTGAGAGGATAAAGTAGTTTCCAAGTCTCCTTCTAATTTCCATCATCCATGGCAACTTTCGACTACTGTCCCTAAGAAAGTATGACCAGCTCAGTACCAAGTGCACTGTGAAAGAGGTGAGCTGATGAGCATTGCCTGAGGTAAGCAGAGCCAGGCATTAAATGAAATATTGGTAGACAGAAAAAGCTCGTCTGCATGTCTTCCCTCACCCTCCCAACCACGGCTGCTGCCACTTTTGTAACTATTACACCTATCTTCCCAAGACCATTTCTCCTTTTCTGCAAAAAACATTTCAGATCAAAGGTTCTTCAAGGGCACCAGAAGCACTATCTGGACTTCACCC